ACTCTCCGGGCCCAAGGCCACAGTCAATGAATCAACCCTCCCAACCCTGCTCTTCAACTTCCTAGGGCAAAAATATACACCAGCTGGAAGTAATAAATGGAGTAACTTCACTTCTCAAGTAATTTAAAGCCTGATGGATAAGATGCCAACCTGACTGTGTCATTCTACTACTTAAGATCCTTCAATAGCTCCCCATTAACCTAGAAAATAAAGTCCAAGGGTAGAGTATGAGATAAAGTTCTCTATGACCTGGCCCCTACTCAACTTTGCAGCTACATTTTCAAAATTCTTCGTCTTATAATCTGTGCCCTGAAATGAGCAAAGTGTAAGTTCCTCGCCCAGACACTACCGTGAGTCTGGCACCCGTGCCTTTGCTCCTGCTGCCCCATTGTCCTGGAGATCCACTCCCTCCATGCTGCCACGTTCACTTCTGTTTGTCTTCGAGACTCACATTAGCTCCTCCACAGAGCTCTCCTGAACTCCAGAATATATAAGTCCTTCTCCTCAACAGCCCCACTGCACTTGTGAATGCCTCTTTTTACTAACCATCTTTTATCAAAATTATACCCATGTATTTGTCTCCCCTGACTCACTGTGTGGTCCTCTAACGTGGAAACTGTGTCTAAATCATCTTTGTTTCTTACTTAGCACAGTCCCTGGTATCCTATAGGGTTTTAGGATTTATCTGTTGATCGAAATTCCACCAAATTGTAGAGCTCCATGAGGTTAGCTCATTCATTCCTTTATTTATTCCAGACATACTCAATGAGTGTTTTTTGTTTTTGTTTTGTTTTGTTTTTTTTTAATGCCAAGAACTCTGCTAGGTTCTGGGGAGATACCTGTGAACAGAAGAGGCCTTTGTCATCACAGAATTAGCTCACATTTTAATAGATGGAGATTGACAGTTGTCAAATACATGACCGAAGGCAACAAAACAAGGTAATGACTGAGGGCGAGTGGGGTGGGTTTCCCCACTTCAGAAAAAAAATGAAAGGACTTTAGTGGGGCAAATCTCAGAAAAGGGCTGGTTTTTCTTCTGATTGTGACTTGCTAATATAGGAGATATGGAGATACTGCCCATGCTAATGTATACAAGTGTATGGTTATATTTGTATTCATAAACTGTTTGTTTATAAGGGGTATTACATAATCCTTAATAATAATCATTATAGCAATATGCACATGTCTGTATGGTGTTACTTTTATGTATATTATTTCATTTAAAAAGAACATAGCAAAGGTCCCAGTATATCCATGTTAGGGAGGAAACAGACTCAAATACAATCAGTGGTTTATTCCAGGCCACAGAGCCAGTGATAAAGCTGGTATTCCCAGCCAGATTTTCTGACTACAAACCCAGTGTTCTTTTCTTTATACAATGATACCTCTGTCAAAGCCTTTTCAATCCTGTTCTTCCTAGAGGAAGTTCCAACCCACTCCTCTCAGCCTTGCTGAGCCTTTCTATATAATGCTTCTCTCGAATCAGACAGCTAGGAACTTCCTGAAAGATTCAGCTGTTGCCATGTCAAGATGTTCTTTACTGATCCCAAGAAAATCACATGGTTAATAGTGCCTGGAAGCATTTATCTAAAAATATTAATTTTACAAACATGTTCATTTCCAAGATTATTTATTTAAACATAATTAATTTGCAAACGTGATTTCACTCAGCAAATGTTTACTGAGAGCCCAATAGATGCTAAGAACCATTCTAGGAGCTACAAACCTGAAAGATCAAAAATAAGACCCACATGTTAAAACATGGAAACATGGGGCGGCTGGGTGGCTCAGGTGGTTAAGTGTCTGCCTTCGGCTCAGGTCACGATCTCAGGGTCCTGGGATCGAGCCCCATTGTCGGGCTCCCTGCTCAGCAGGGGTGTCTGCTTCTCCCTCTCCCTCTACTACTACCCCCCTGCTTGTGCTCTATCAAATAAATAAGTAAAATCTTAAAAAAAAAAAGAAAACATGGAAACACAACCAGCAACACGACACTGAGCTGGTAGTTTTTAAGTGTACACAAATCTTGTATTGATAACTAGGGTGTGGGGAGAACCACAACAGTCTGAGGACAATTTGGATAGTCTCTGTCGTGGCTTTTACAGCAGTAGGAAGCTAGGAAGCCAGTGCACCCAGGTGAAATCCACAATCATTCTGCCCAAGAGAGGAGCTAGAACTTAACTTCTGAGTGTGGAATTAACTGTAGTTCCAAAGATAAAGCCTATTTTGTACCACACACAAAGTGATCCACGATCTGGAAGAGAAACAGTGAAGTCCTTTTACCATGTCCCCATTTTGAAGAAAATAATACATGAAAGTGCCCAGCTCAGCTTAAGGCAACACAGAGCCACAAAAGGCAAGCAAAGACAGAGAAAGGAAGAAAGAGACAGGAAAGAAGGGCTTGTTAAATAACTGGACACTGTTCTAAGGGTAAATAGTTAAAGTGGATAGGTGGGATTTATCAAGGAGAGAAATCCCAACCTAGCTGGAAGCTTCTGCCATTCATTAAATGTCAAAGACAAATACCAAGAACGAGAGAAGAATTTCCCAGACCTGCCCTACAACAAAGTGAACTGTAAGGATTAAGCGGAAAGAAAGAATATGCCAAGACTACATGAGACTTGAAGTTACCTGTTTAAGACACTCAGAGGAGAAAGCTTCCCAGATCCCTTTGAAACGCCACAATACCATACGCAACAGAGAGATGAGGTTATAAGTTAACGGAGTTCTCATTCTGCCTACCGTTTTCCCCAGCATGGGCTGGACTTTCCTTTTTCTGACTTGATCTGGGTTTAAATGCAGATTTATGCTGCTAGTTATGTATATATTTTTACTACTAAGTACTAATTATTTCTGTTACTGACACTGTTTTTCAGAACTGCCTTTAATTTTTAAGCTTATAGTAACATTTTTTATGAGCTTTTGAAGGTTTCTGCTCTCTACACCCAGGCAATATGTGTGCATGTGCATGTGTGTGTGCATACAGATTTTATTCACTTTAGGTTGTGTGTGGATGGAGCCATCAGAGATACCTTTGTGTTTTTATGAGCTTTGTTTCAAAATGTTCAGGAGCATCCTTCCTGATTGATAATTTGCAGTTGGGAAATTGCCTCTTTGTCTCAAAATACATAATTGAGAGATGGTGCAACATAATTGTGTACAGGGGAAAATTAGTTCTAGAGGCCACCCTAGATCCTGTCCAGGAGAAATCCTGTCCGCGCTCAAGGCTGTTTCACTACCAAAAAATGGATGAGCTCTCCACAGCAATCAGTACCTCACTCATTCCTGAGCCACGTCCGTAGTAGCAGAATGTTCCTATCTAATCCTGACAAGAGTACAATGCCAGTGTGTGTGATTTAACACTGTTTAAGCGTCTTTCAGGGTTCATTAGATGCTGAGCAGTTTATACCTTTTTTCTATCCAAATGGGAGTAAATCCCAGAGCGGAAAGTGTTCTCTGTCTCCTGCAATTCTGTCAGGAATGACCACTGGCATCCCTGCAGCGGGTGGAAGGCTAGCTAATGTCCAGCAGAAAGAGGGAAGCCCTTTTGGGGTTCTCTTCCATAATTTGTCCTTCAGACCAAGAACAACACAGAGCTGTAATTGGATTTTTCCCTCCTTTGTCACGTCTCTCTTTCCTACCCCTTCCTCTCAACTCACACACGTTTACTGCCTCAAGGCCCAGCTCAAATATCAATTCTTCTCTGAAACAGACTTCCCCCTAAAATGTATGTTTCCTCTAATTCTACTCAATTAGGACATTTACTCTGTGGCATTGAACACTGAGTGTCCTGAGCTGTACTCGCTCACCTCCAGATCTCATCTCCCTTCCTAGATCATAAAATCCTCAAGCACGGAGACCACAGCTTGGAAAGAGCAGCTAAATTCGGTTACAATACAAACACGGTGCCCAATGATGACTTGATAAATGCATCCCCTCCAGAAATGCTTATTATGCATCTACTATATACCAGGCATAATGGACCCAACTCCTGTTTTGACATGGCTCACAGTCAAGTGGCGTGAATGCATGCATGTACAATGCCATCTTGTATGATAACCGATGTTCAACAAATTTCAAATAACCATAATCAGAATAAACATTTGCCCTGAGAGGAGTCTCATAACATGTCACAAGGGATCTTTATCTACAAGAAAGAACACTATTAGCTTCTCAAGGAATTTCCCCAGGGAGGGGGTAGAGATATCTCAGGCAATCAGTCTTAGCTTAGCTTAAACAAAAATGTGCAGTTCACAGCTCGGATGACAGAGTATTCTGAAAGAACTCTACCAAATCAAGTCTGATTCTTTTTGCCTCAACAATTGACCTTAGAGAACTTACACTTGACTGAAGCTCCTCTGCTCTCAGACAGAGGTCTCAACACATCAGCTACAACAGTAATAAATGAGTAATGGCAAAGCCCCACTGCTTTCTCACAGCTGCTAGCTTTCAGGGGATAAAAAAAAGAAAAAAGAAAAGGAAAAACCAGTCTTTTGGGCCTTAATGTTACATTCTGAAAATTTTCCTTTATCTCAAATAATGAGACTCTTGGGAACACCAAGCTTGGCAAAGGTAAAATAATACATATGTTATGCTTTAGACAAGACACACAACCACAAATTGAGCTACTTTTAGCTAGAGCTTCCCTACTTGCCAAGTCAAAGTAGGAAATCAAACTTTACAAGGTGTAGTTCTTGTGATATCAAAGTCCTTTCAACTCTGTTATTTCATTTAATTTATAAAGCACCTCTACCTGTGGGATACAGTTTCCCATTGGGCAGATGAGGAAACAGAATCACAAGATACGTTAAGTGGCAAACCCAAGGTCATGCAACCAGCTTAAGCGGGAACCAAAACCTAGGACCTTACTTCCAAGTCCAAAGTCTTTTTTGCTACAACCTATGGCCTCAAAGAATGGATTAGAGGACAGAGCCCCTCATTGAACTGGAAATTCATTTGTTCTTGAGACAGTCAACGAATTAAAGAGAGCATGTGACCGTTACCTCTTTAAGGCAGCCCATGAAGTTGTTGCTGACAGGTGAGCCTGGCAAGTCAGCGGTACTTGGGCTTCCTCCCACGTAGAAGAAGTCGTCCGAGCCCAGCATGGTGTAGTCCTCTTGAGTGTAGCCCGTCGTGGTAAGGATGCCATCCACAGAGATTGTCACCTGGTGGAGGGACATAGGGACAAAGAAAAATCCCAACAATGACTTTACAGTCCTATCAAAATCCGGTGGCTTCCCCTACCTGTGGCATCACTTTCATTAAGATTTTGGTGAGGTATTCTTTCTAATTTGGTTGATTTTGGTAGGCGCAGCCAAGTTCCATTTTCTGGTCTGCCTTCCCTGCAACCCAAGCCTCCAGCTTTCTTCTGCAGACTCCCGGGAGACTTTGGGGGAATTGCCAAGATGAGCAACTTGCTCTACCCATTGCACTCTTTACTCAGTCAGGCTAGAAAATGGAACTATCCTCAGACGACATCACTTGTCTCAGTTCATTGGTAAAATGATTGTTTATTTTTTGAATGACTGTTATTTATGGTGGTAGTGAGAAACAGCAAAGGAGACATTTGACAATGGAGTTTGTTAGGGTTGGTCTTTGGTGGTGGATGGTTTTTTTTTTCCTTTTTTCTTTTCTTTTTTTCTTTTCTTTTTTATTCGTTTCTTTGGGGGCTCACACCACGCTGACAAACATGCATTCGGGGAGGAAAGGAGAAGGGTCTCATTTTTGATATGTCATGGATGGTACATGCCATGGACTACCCCCAGGACACCAACCCCTGCCCTCCCTTCACTGCCGTCACCACCACCAAAAAGAGAAATGACCCAAACCAAAAAGGCAACTCTAACAAAAAGAAAAGAATATGAGGCATAATAACCAAAATAAAAATAATAAGAATGCCCACAGGGAAGAAATAGCACCCACACGCCCAACATCCATGGAAGGAGCAGAGGGCAAAGAGAAAAGATGGGGCCTCAAAGCGTGCACGCACCATACGCTGACACACCCATGCGAAAACCATCAGGAGCCAAGAGAAAAGGCAGAAGAGAAAGGGCAGGGAAGTGGGCAGGGGTGAGGAACCAAAGGGAAGAATCAAAATCCACTTCACACTTACATGCACTGAACAAAGTGGAACACAAGATGGAGGTAAAAACAAACAACCAAAAAAAAAAAAAAAAAACCCAAACCACTCAAAACTAAAGGGTTGTCTTTCCCCTGCCTGCCACCTCCCTCACTAAAAAAAAAAAAAAGAAAAGAAAAGAAAAAGTCCAAACCCAACCCCAAAATATGTGAAGGATGAGAGGAGAATGAAGAAGAGAGAGACAAAAATGAAGAAAGAGAAGAGTGTGGAACTGGGCTGATGACTGACAGGTTGTTAGTAATGAGGAGGAAAATGGAGGGACAAACTCTGATGTCCATGGGGAAATCCACGAGACAGGAACATGCCATGCAGAGTCTGTACGGAGAACACACTGGCAGAGCTCCCTTTGGCCACGGTGAGGAATAAGGTGAAAGCCGGGAAAGGAAGAACAGAGGAAATAGAGTACTTTCCTCCCCAGATCACCTGTGGCAGCCCATGGCCACACCAAAGGGAAAGAAAAATGGGCTTCAGGAGTGGGGAGGAGAGAAGAGAAAGGAGGGAGAGTGAGAGGGGACAGGGAGACACAGAAAGAAGAAAGTCCTCAATAGAAAGCCTATTGGCCCTAGTCTGTAACTTGGAAGTTGCAAAATAAGAAAACAAAACAAAACAAATTTAGCTAAATGGGGACTCTTTCTTTAAAAAAATACTTTTGGGGGGGAAAAAAAAGGCAAACTGGAGAAAAGGAAACTGTCCCAACCAAACTCCTCCAAATACCATTTCCAGGACAGGCACGTCCCCTTCCATTTTTTTTTTCTTTTTTTAACAAAAAAGAAAGGCTTGCATTTCATCCAACAAAAAAATTTTAAAAGAAGAAGAAAGGAGTCTAAGGAGGATAAAAGGGGGGTTTGGGAAGGAAAAGGGGGGCAACACACGGCAAACCCAAAAAAAGAGACAATAAGAATGATATCTACCAGACAATGTAGTTTGTTTACCATAGCGTGTCCGATGCCTGAGTGCTTTGCGGAAAAGGGGGAAGAAAGGAAATTAAAAATTGTGAACAGAACGATTGTTAATTAAAAAAACTAAAAACAAAGATGAGTCGTTAGGGTGTTAGTACATTAGTCGGTTAGTAAAATGACACATTGCATGAATGATCTTGTGTTAGTTTTTCAAAAAAAAGGCACCCGACACAGAAAAAGAGAGTGGGGAAGACAATGAGACCAGGACTCTATGGAAAACCTTGGCAGCTAGGGCAGAGCCAGGAAAAGAGCTGCAATCCACCCTGTCATTGAACTCCCCCTTCTTCCAAACACCGCTCAGACCGGACCTCACCCCAGTTAGAATTAGCATCATACTTACTTTCCAAGGGCTCTTCTGAATGAACACCATTTTCCCTTCCCACCCTCTAGCACATACACAGCCCACCTATCCTGAAAGAAAACACCGCTAAAGTTTATCATTTCACATGTAGGTAGATAGATAGCTAGAGCTAAAATACCAATATTCTGGGGACTTTTTTTTTTTTTTGATATCTGACTCTGACTACATGCATGGATGATTATGACTTTCAATAGAACAACGAAAAAAACGTAAAGCATGTACAGGTCACCTCTGGCATAGGAAGGCTACATGATGTAGCTTATTCTGTAGATGATTAAAGATCCATGACTCCCTTCATTTTGTGTGGATATGTGCAGCTGGAGAGGGACATTCTCCTCTTTGCTTTCCTCTTGGTCGACAATAACTGTGTTGTCAGAGTGCATCAAAATAGTTGGGAGTCTTCTTTATTTCCCAATGTAGTTATTGTTTTGTTTTCTTTGCCGGAATGCTGCCCGTTGGAATCGCTCTCCCCCCATTCCCTTTTAGAAAATGGTTTTCAAGCTTTTAAGCAATTTCTTGTATGGATAACAGAGAGGACTGGCAGGTTAAACATGATTAAAGAAGCCCTACAATTTGTCTCCTCTGACTATTTTCAAATGCTAAATGGCCAGTACACCCTGAGCTGGGAGGCTGGAAGGCTGGAAGATCAGTAACCCCAGTTTTGTGTTTGTGGTTTCACTAAAGTGGCATTAGAGGTAAAGCAATTCACATGAGGGCCATGTTCAAGGTCATGGGTTTTAAAACAAGACCAAAAACAAACCCAGAGAAACGCATCACTACCTTGGTCCCTAATCCCAGTGACAGTCTGGAACAGAGAGTTCACATTCCTTCCTTTAATCAGAAGCCCCAGTAAAGTAGCTGGCCTCAGTCCTGACTTGGCTCAAAGGTAGAACCATGAGTAGATGACCAAGAAGGAAGAAATAGGCAGAGTTCTGCTCCATTTAGTAATGAAAACTCCAGGAAACTCCAAGTAAGCATTCCTCGGATGAGTTTTTGCCACAGAAACCATTCGACCTTACCAAAAAAGTAGATGAGACAGTCACAAGCTTGTTATCAAATATTTATGAAGCAATTTACAGTTTAATTGAAATAGACAGGGCCTTCCAGCCCCTTCAATTGTCTCCTACAGAACTAAAGAAGATGCTATAAATGTATTTTTAATGGTCAAAATAATAATCTTAGATGATTCAGCACTGAAAGGATTACATTTGCAAAATCAACTCTGCTTTTCGGAGATTTCCCTCTCTTTTAATAAATTGTATTTGGATGCAAAATTCAGTCGGGATTTCATTAAAGACCAATTTTAGGGGCACTTTCTCTATGAGATTCATATTCCCTCTGCCAAGAAATGTCCCCCAATGCCCTCAGGCCTCTGTCGCCTTGTCCAGAACTGAGAGCTCTGTTTAGCAGCAGCATTGGTGACAGAGAGACACAGTCACCTTCACAACAGAATACTCAGCTTATAAATTGTGCGCATGTCACAGTGAGTCTAGCACCCAGACCATGGAGGAGCTCATAATCCTTCTGGAACATAAGGTGCTTTGCATATTTAGCCACCACACATGGCTGGGGACGGTTGTAATCACCATTTCACAAATGGAAACTGTGGTGTGGCAAGGTTAAATGGTTTGTCCAAGGGCACCGAGGGAGCTGGGTCTTAGAGCTTGGAAGAGAAACCCTCCAGGATTGCTCTCCTCTGCTTGCTCTGACTAAAACAGCACAACCAATGTTCGAAGAACAGCTTGGTTTATCCCCCACTCAGTTTAAAGGATGGAACTGGGGGCCAATTCTATTTTAGAAAAGTGTTTTTAGTGGAAATAAAAGTGAGCTTTTCTCCAGCTAATTGGAATCATTCTAGAATGGCAAGGAAGTACAGGGAGCGGGAGAGAACCAGAGAAACAGACTGGTTGGTGAGAATCACAGCCTGACCCTGCTCCCCCATCATGTATGAAAATTCTCCCCTCCCCTACAGCCTAAAGGGTGTTACTGTGTACCTGCCAGCCAAAACTGGTCATATTTTACTTTTTAGACTAGTCTCTGCAACTCAAACACATCATGCCCTTGTATGTTAGCAAATGGAAATTCGACTGGGGCCCTCTTGACAGCTGAGCTGAGTAAATATGGATGGGGGATTATTAAAGAAAACATTAGCAATTGGATCCTTTGGCCTTGGTGGAAAAACAGAACAGTGATTCAAAAATGTCCAGTCCAGGGGTATTAAGAGGACGGGGGCTCTAAGACTTCTATGATTTGGTAACATCACCACAGATAGAAGAGCATCTCCCAACCAGGTGGCTTCCTCAACATACTTAAGCATTACAATGGGTGTTTTGAATATTGTGTGTTCCCACCACCTGTGAACCTTCTCTGTTCACTTAGCAATACTAAGGAGTCGCCCTTTTATCAAACAGAAAACATATGCAAACACTTGTCCGTTCTTACGCTTTCATATTTACATTAGAAGGCATTAAATCAATCATATTGCAGAAGAAAATCTACTAAGCACTCTCTGGAAATTTGCATAATGTTTTCTGATTAATAAAGGACGAACCCTGTCTAACTGGGTTTAATGACAAAATCACAAGGAGAAAAACCAAGTGCAAATAGCAACCCGGAAAGCGGCATCAGCACAGACCTTGACTTTTATAGGAAATGCTTTTCTTCCTCACTGATGTGGGCTGGTGAGGTGTTACTATTATTACTGTTGTGACTATTATTATTCATTGTGAGACTGAAAACAACTTCACTTGGCTAAGGCTTCCTGAGAGCGTTGTCACCTGACGGAGTTGCCTGCTTAGAATCGGCAAGCGATGGGAGTTCTCAAGCACGAACAGAACCGGGAAAGGCTGCTCCAAAGCTGACTTTTTTATTTGGATCCTTCCACTTTCCAGGCCTCCCAGTCAACTGAAGAGCCTCCGAGGTAGAGACAGGGGCAATAAAGTAGGAGCACCGCACCAAGGAACAGAGAAACAGAGGAATTCAGAAAGATTCCAGCTAATTCATTCTAAGGCTATAGGTTAACGTAACAGCAGGAAAAAAAAAAAATGAAAGCAGAGGAGGGGCAGTAAATTGAAAGGACGAGAAAAAGGAAGACTTTTTTCTGGAAAGAATTAAAATCATGGCATCATGACAATGGCTAACTTAACTAAAAAGAAAAACATATATTCAGAAAATGAGGAAAATCTAGCAAGCTGCAGAAACAAAATGCTGTCCCTAATTGAATTTAACAATAATACAAGATTCAAACGTAGTTAAGAAAATGATAAAAAGGAAAGCAGAATAAAAGGAAAGTATTTATTACTTTTATTATCTACACAACTGAATTTTTTTCTGAAAAAAAAAAACAAGCGTAAGTGGAGAACTGAAGTAGGAGGAGAAACATATTTTCATAATTTTTCCTTGTGAAACTGCAAAGACTGGGGAGAACGTTAGGCTTCAACAAATCCAAAGCTATATCTATACGCTTCTCCAGTTCGTCCAGCACCTGCTTCACTAACCTCCTCCCCCGCTACCCAAGAGGAGCCTCCGGGCACTCTCTCCCCTCCGCCATTACCTGCCGGAGGTTACGCGTGACTTTGACATCATGCCAGGCGTTGTCGTTGAATTTTCCATTCACTGGCTCCACGATGGCCTCAAAGGCCCCGGACCCCAGGTTAATGACCAAGGAGACCGCGCCATCCTTCAGAGCCAGGTTGACATAGTCAGCCGACTTGCCCGTGTGCAGGATGAGCCCGTTCCGCTGCCAGGTCTTAAAGGAGAGGGTGATTTCATCACTGCTGCTCTGGATCGGGTTCTGAGACAGGTCGTAGCACAGGTACTCGGAGCCTCGGAAAGTGGCCACATTCTCCTCTCGGGCTGCGTGAAAAGGAAAGAGGGGAGCAGTCACCACCTGACTGCCATGAGTCAGGAGTACGCAAATACCAAAGAGAACTTGGCCCCCCAGGGCAATGCCCCTGCCAGGGAGCTGCTATCCGCATGAGCTCCCTCCAACGCTTCCACCGGACCTGTGTCTAAGTACTAGGGAAACCACGAGAGACACTAACTGCCGAGGAGCTATCTATCCTCACAAGGGTGGAAGACCAACGCAATGGCATAGGAGAGCTTGCTGCCTTTCCTTCCCATTTTCCCAGAGAAAAACCTAGAGGGAAATTTTATGCAAAATGGTAGAGTGAGGTTTACGTTGCTTTTGCTTCAATGATGGCTTTTAAATGCTTGTCCGAGAGCTGGTGTAGAATGGAAAATTAACTGTTCTGACAAAGGGTTCTTTAGCTCCAGGTACCTTTTATTGACCAATAACTAAAAATCAATTACCCTGAAAGATCTGGCTCTAATTTCCATCCATCAATAACCCAGCTAACTTTGGTTTCCATGGTAGAGTCCTGAGCCCAGTGGAATGTGACAGGGTTATTAAATAGGAGATTGGACCTGAGAAGGTGATCAAGCAGATGAGGGAAAGGGGACAGAATGGAATTTGGTGATATGCTTTGACAAGACAGCAATAGCTCCCTTTCGATCCAAAGGGATCTCTGCTCTAGGGTCTCCCAATTTAGATGGCCCTGGTCGGACCATCCTATAGAACATCCAGGATCAAGACAGCGTTCCACTGGAGTGTATACTCTCCTTCAAGGCCACACCATGGGATCCTTTAATTCCCTACCCAAGGAGCCCCAGGCCTGTTTCCAGGGCTTCTGCAAGGCTCTGCCCTGGACTCATTTTCCAACAGCAAATCATGCCATCGGTGTGCATACCTCAGGGTCTGAGAACTAGCAACAGGGGACCTTTTGCAGGGAGTTAGACAGAGCTTGGCCACATGGGCGTCCACGTGCATTTATACCAGAGCCCTTGTGGATACAGGATGGAGCCGAAGGGGACAGGCCACAGGTTGACAACCAGAGAGGCTGGTTCTCCCTGCACTAGCATATCCCAGGACAGAACTCTGAGGAATCCAAAAATTCTAAGTGTGCACCTGGCTTACCAGGTAGTTTCAAAGGTGTATTTATCAAGGTAATGACATTTTATTTAATTTTTTGTTGATGTAATTTATAACTTCAAAACCCACTTGTCCCCCTGACAGGCAGTCTGACTGAGAGTGGCCTACTGCATATCAGGGTTGGCCAAAAGCTAGCAAAAGCACCTCATCATGAAAGAAAATGGGCAACAATACAAGGTTGGATAGGCAGTTTCCCATTATGGGGCCAGGGGGGCGGTTACAAAATAAGGCTGAGCAAGTTCTATTTTCTCTTCTAGAACTACACTTCAGCCTTCGTAACCAAAGTCAATTCCACCTCAACTTAGAACCTTTCAACCATCACAGCCCTTGGTAAGTCACTTACATAAAATAAATATATTCTCATGATTAGGTAAGAACTGTAGAGGAAGCACTCATCATATGGGAGAGATGACCACCCACTACAGTCTACATTAAACTAATTATAGAATCATGACAGCCTTAAAACATGAACCTCAACTTCGTACTCCAGAGAGTGAAAGAAGAGATCAGGCTTGTCCTGTGTTTTCAGAGGGTCTCAATGATGTGTCTACCTGCCTATCTCTGTGTGCATGCATGCACATGCACACACACACACACACACACACACACACACACACACACACACTGGTATAAGCAAAAGGAATCTGTCCACCTATAAATGACCAAAGTGTCTCAGCAAGCACTATTTGGCACATAACCCATGTCTGATGCCTTTTACCAAAACTGCCAAAAAAAAAAAAAAAATCATGGAGCAGCAGTTTGATACCATCTATATGTTTGAAACAGATGTATCCAACCCCCTAGTGCCCTGTCTATTGTCATTTCTTCTCTCATTTCTGAAGAAATGACTGTGTTAAAATGCATTTGGATGAGCCTTTGTTTAGGAGACCAGGAGGTAAGCCTGACCTAGAGTGAAGGATGGCAAATCAAATTCAGTTATCACCAATACACTCTTTTCCTATGGATACATATGCGCACAGAGCCAACTGCTATGCCTGTCCTTGGTGCCACATGTGGTATAATAATGGGTGTCTTCTGTAAACATTTAAGTTAGACCTTATGTGCCCACCGAACTGAGAAAAATGAACAAGGAAATGAGTGCCTCTAAAAAGATGCTTAAATTAATCACTGAGTACCCTTCAAAGGGGAAAGGTTTGATACAGAACAGTAAGGCACCAGGATGTTACCTGATGTGCTATATGGGGCTTAATATTTGTCATGTAATTAAACCAAGGAGTATGCAAAAATAATAAGTTTTGGAGCTTATAAGGGATTTTAGAGCTTATCTGATTTAATGACCCCCCTTTTTTTTTTAACAAGGAAGAAACTGACAACTAAGAGCAAGTGTTGCCCAAGACCACACAGTTGGTGTTACTCTGGACTTCTAGTGCCTATCTGGACTTTTCTCTAAATATCCTTTTACCCATCACTTTGGATGTAGCACGTTGTTCCTACTCTACTAAACAGCAAACCATCCCAAACCTTGGATAAATTGAGCCAGAAATTTATTTCCCCCCCTACCCTATGTAAATCACACTTACTCACCAAAATTAATGTTCCCCTTTCCCCCTGGATTCTGGGTGTGTTTAAAGCAATAGAACTTGTTTTATGTGGAGGCCAGAGAAGAAAAATGACATCATTGTAGAGAAGAGAATATCAATAAATAAACAGGAAATAAAACCAACCATGAGAAATCGTCTATGTAAATCACATGCATATTTATGCTAATCTCCATGCAAATTCACCAACAAAGACTTTATGTAGCTGAGTGCGTCCCTTTGCAAGTAACCTAAGGAAAATGCTGTAACCGTTCACAACCTTCCCAATCTCTTCATTCAATGATGAATTTTCCCGGTTTGCCTCTTCCCTGAGCTGGAGGAGGCTACCAAGAGCAGCATCACCCTGGATGCTGCTATCTCCTCCACATGTCAACACACAAGACACCTGAAAGCTACTCTCTGATTCATATTCTAGATAAGCCAAATTGTAACATTTTTAATGCATGGGATACCTTCCTCCTGACTGTGTGGGGAGGAGAGGCATTGACAGTGCTTGACCTGGTCTTTAAAAGAGCAAATGAGGGGCATGGAAGAAAAGAGTAAGAACGTTGAAGAAAGCATTCCTTTGCATAATCTCACAACTGATTTCTCCTAAGATCCCAATCTTTCTTAATTTCCTTCCAGTAGCCAAAGCTTAAGCACTGTCTTATCACTTTGAAAGCCATACTAAATTGATAATGAACAGAAATAAAAGGCGCAAAACTAAATAGTGACAAACACATTTCTAAGCCCATTCAATTCTCCAAACTCTCCATTAGAAAAATGTAATATTGCCCCAATTTGTTTTCTATATTTAGTGTTTACACTGAGAAGGAGGTTGAAGAGACAATGCAGTCACCTTGTATGTATTCAAGCAAAATAGGTAGCGACAATGGATGCAGAGGATTATGTAACAGAGTACACAACAGCTTAGCATAAAGCTCCAACTTGGCAAGAGAGCACGCACTGACATGGCTAATGGACTGTTTAGATCCACTTAAATTATATCACCCCGAAGTTTACAATCAATTGCATAAGTGTTAAAATAAAAATGTTAGTCTCACTGCATGGAAAGCAGAGCTCAACTGTATGACAACAAATCATTTCCCCATTATTTGTAAGTGTCCAATTGATTAAACACTAGATGCAATCTAGATATGTATAACCCAAGATTTTACATCAGTGTGTATAAGATATGTAAAGTACTGATCTTTCAAAGGCTTGTAAATCCAAGCACTATATATAAATAGCATTAACAAGCATTTATTCAATTCTATTTTCCACTCTCTCCCCCCAAAAAAAATCCAACTAGTGATTTATATAATAATATCTCCATTTCTCTGAGAAATTGCAAAGCAGATTAAAATATTCAGTGTAATATGTTTTTACCATGCAATCTAAGAAGTGTGGAGAAATGCATATCACTGTTTAATTGGGCCTGTGGTTTCTGAGAGCTTGATGTCTCAGGCTTTGAGATCAAGAAATTCAGGCTTTATTCTGAAGGTTATGAGGAGCCACGGCACAATTTTACTGAAAGGATGGAGGGTCTGATTTGTATTTTTAAAAGATCACATAATCTTTTAAAAAGATTTTGCAACTCAACTTATGTTGGGTTGAGAGTGAACTGAACAGAAGAGTGAACTGAAGGCAGAGAGCCCCATTAAAAGGTGAGAACACTGGGGCGCCTGAGTGGCTCAGCCAGTTAAGCATCCTACTCTTGATTTTATTTCAGGTCATGATCTCAGGTTCATGAGATAGAGCCCCACATCAGGCTCCGTGCTCAGCGCTGTCTGCTTGTCCCTCTCCTTCTGCTCTTCCCCCTGCTTGTGCTCGCTCTCACAGTCTCTCTCTTGCTCTCAAATAAATTAATAAATAAAATCTAAAAAAAAAGGTTGAGAACACATTTGAACTACTTTTCTGGGGGAACTGGTTCAACCTGGATGTTGATACCCTTCCCGAATAAGGTTTGCCTTTTGCTGGGCAGTAGTGGAAGCAAACGGTTCTTAGGAGAGACAACCCAGGAAACTGAGAGGCAGAGGTACTGGCAAATCAAAAACCACAGGAGGAAGCCAGAGTCTGCACACTTACAATCGAAATGCAGCCATGGAAAACCAAGGACCAGCGGCAAAAACTGAGGGACGATGCTAGAACGCTAGACATGAAAGGCCTCAAGGGAGAACACGTCAGGCATGGGTAAAGGAGGATTCTAGGTCCATTTGCAAATACATGTGCACAGTTTCTTAAATGTCATATATCTCCAAATGCTTTCTTAGTCACATTTGTAGTCTCTCAACATCCCACGAGGTCACTTTGCTGGGATGATGCCA